TATACTTTATTATAAGAAAATTTATATTTTGAAATAAAATATCGAAAAATTCATCTCTCTCAAGTACCTACACAGTAAGTTCTGGTACATTCCTGCCTGGAACACTGTCATATAAAAACACTATCATAGTCGTAAAACTCAGTCATACTGATATCCTGAGGACTCTAATATGGTTAAGTTTTAGCTTCTAAGTTATTTCAATTTTTTTTAATCATTCACATATACAAGAGAAACAGTTGCACCCAAAACCGAACCCTGTAGTACACCTGAGTTAATGTTTAATTTTCTAGACGAGTCATTTGTCCTCTCTATCTGACGTCACCCCCTCAGTTACGACTCTAACCACTTACACCTTCTTCACCGCATCCATATTGATGCAGCTTAAGCAAAAGTATTTTGCAGTCCAAATAGTAAAGTACTTTTGTTGAACCACAGAAAACTGCTACAGCCACATCTCTTACATTGATGTTTCCATACATCTCATAAAACAAAGATATAACTGCACTGGAAACCAGATTAATTTTCATTTATTACCATGTGGGTTACAAAAAGCACCATAAGTATGTTTTTACCGAGTCTCTCAACTTTTGCAAGTATTCAGAGTTGAAGAAAGACAGTAAGTTATACAAACAGCTAGTTTGCTTCAATACAACTAGAGTAGGGCAGAGATTAAAGTATGAATACCTGGATTGAGCTGAACCAAAGCCTCATACCCCAAATAAACCGAACCCAAGGCCTGACCGAGCAGAGTAAAAAACGGATACTGGTCTCCTTCTACCCACTTCCTTCGGTGCAGGTACACAAACTTAACGTTTTCTTCTACTTCAACGTTCAGTCGTTTCCTAACCTTTTCCAGAATTTCAATCGAAGTAACTTCCACATCACCTGTGTAAATATAAAATTCTGCTTTAGGGTACCTTAAACAAAAAAAAGAGTTGACTTACTGCGGAGAAACTACTTAGGGTACATTACTTTTTTTGTAAGGCTTGTAGGGCTACCCAGAGAACTTTTTCTCCTCCTCCCCCTGCATTGCAATAAGGGTGGAAAATACCGACTCGTAATTTCGTCGCCAAGTTTTTCAGTTTTTCGTTTTTGAATTTCCTTTTCAAGTAAACATAATATAGAGGAGTTACCAGGCAGAATGCCAGTAAAAGAAATATTACTATAGCTAGTGATATTTTTATCGTTGACAGTAGTATATGTCTAAAAAAAACAAATCATTTAGCAGTGATAAAATCATCTTTTCCTTAATTTGCTTACATCCAATTCAATAACATTTTCATCGTAAATAATTTTTGGACAAATTTTGAATTATTGAAAATTTTGACACTTCGAAGAGACGTCAGTCACAACAATACTTCTTCTTCATATATTTTCTGGTATTCCGTTGGTTCAATAGCCAATCACAACCACGAATGTGAAAAATCCACAACTTTATTTTTTCAAAAAATGTATGAAAAGATTCATTGGGAATACTTCACAATTTCAGCTCGTTTCGACATTTTATTTGAATAATTTCCTTGAAACGGCAGTGTCATTCTAGTTTGTCTTTCGAATATTCAGATAAACCCGACGGCAATCATAAATACAGTCATCTTCAGACGTTATGAATTATCGAAAATATTAAAAAAATTACTTCAAAGTGCTCCTAATTATCAGGATCAGAATATTTATCCATGAAAATAGTAGAATACATCAATTTTAGTAGTTGCAGAGATCCAAATGTCATGTCGATCCGTTGAGTAACAATCAAATTGCAGATCTGGAATATGTTTCAAGAAAAACAATTTTTCAGGNATAGCACAGGACTCAAAATGGGAGGTTATTGTTGTCCAATAGTCCTTAATGGAATAAGGAGTTCAAGAATCGTGAATAGTTCAAACGTGTTACATATAAATTAGAATTCCCCCTAGCGGAGTAACTATGAAATTGGTGATGGAAAACAATAAATTGGTTAATATGAGGTTGCATTATCGGACAATATTTTCAATATAACTACCATAGTAAGATAGAACAAGCGGTCTTTCACGACAAATATTATCAATGTTATTTGCAGAAGCTATTGTATAGCAAAACAAATGTCGCGGTTTTGTAAACCGCGTTTTTTTTAGTTAAAATCTTGCAGTAAAATGTATGAGCAAGTTTAGTCATGGATTGAGGACGATGTTTCCCCCTTTAGGAATCTCTACTGAAATACTATATGTGGTTTGTATTTACAGGATGATTACATTGATGCTCTCCATAAACTCAATCTTACAGTCACCAAGGCGTACAAGATAAATCCGAGTATAAAATTTGAGGTTTTCATTCACAAAGTCGACGGTTTAGGGGACGATTTCAAAATGGAATCCCAGCGGGATATTCACCAGAGGACTGCTGATGATTTAAATGATTCTGGTACACAGCAGAGTTCGTTTTTGATTGAATTGCATTTTTGTATGCGTGATTTTCTGTTTCAGGTTATGATCAAATCCACCTCAGTTTTCACCTGACCTCTATATACGATCATTCCATTTTTGAGGCCTTCTCGAAAGTGGTTCAGAAATTAATACCTCAGTTACCTGCGCTAGAGNAACTAGGGTCGAAGAAGGCAGCGGTAATTTGAAGCTGAATCTTTGCCTGGTTTGATACATTGGCTCGTCCAAGTTGTTAAACAAGACCCTATTTTTGAAGAGAAGGCAGATTGTCTCATATATAAATAAGGAGACCACAGTTAGGATTCTGTTAGAGGCAAAAAGAGGCAATTTAGATGTTATTTAGATGTACGGCTGGAATCTGGCAACGATAGAACACTACGTTTGCTTTTGATAAATTCAAGCTCAAGAGATTTGAGTCAAACCAGGTTTTCACTTTCTTGATGTCGTTCTCAATAACTTCATGCAACGTATGGTTGTTAGCAGCATAAAATTGTGGTATCATCAGCAAATAAAGTAAATTTTCCTTGGATGTTGATAGACGATAGGTCATTAATGTAAATTAAGAATAAAAGTGGGCCCAGTACCGAACCTTGTGGGACGCCGCAAGTAATTTTACCTTCATTTGAGTATGAAGTGGTTTTGACCATCTGGGTGCGATCTGCTAAGTATGACTCAAACCATTTAAGACTTATTCCAGTTATACCGTATCTATTGAGTTTTCGTAAAAGAATTTCATGATTCACGCAATCAAATGCTTTGGCTATATCACAGAAGACCGCAGCCACTGTTTCATTGTCATTTATGTTGGAATAAACATAAAGAAATGAAAATATGGCATCGGAAGTGTTTTTTTCTTCTGGAAACCAAACTGGCAATCACTTATTATTTTGTTTTCATTCAGAAAGCAAAGGAGTTCCAATTCTCTTTTAGTATGGAAGTTATATGTTTTACTTTATATAGAAAACGACAAAAGTAGATTAATGTCTTCATTCAAATTCACCTCTTACTTTACATTTAGTGATTATTACAGAATTCCGCCATAGAAAAGTCATTCCTCTTTGATGTCGTGTCGAAAATCTACATCGCCACTGACTCGACCCCAGTAGATATGCAGAGTTACGAGCTGTGCTGCGACATGATCGACGTAGTAATAGACGTTTCGTGGATTTACGGGTAATATTGCAGCGATACATTCTTTTGGCTTGGAAACGAGTATTGACTTTTCAGCATCAAGGAAGAACAAGAACCGGCCGCTTTTGATGACCAGAGCTCCAGCTTGATCAAGTTGAATAACGGGACGGTCCTGTATTTAAGAGAAGTCAACAAGTTTCTCGCCTTAGTTTGTATATTGAGAGAGGATAATTTCGAACAGAAAGGTAGGAGAGGTAATTTATTGGGTGACAGCTGGTGGGACTTCATGAGCGTAATATCGTAAATATTGAAAGCTATTCGGGAGAAGAAGAATAGTTATTTTCATTTGAGAATTATTAATTTCCATTTTGAAAACCCTTGATCAGAACAAATTTTTCAGAAAGAGTCAGAGACAGATTTTCACAGATGAAGGAAAATGTTCTTCAGTATCCAGACGAGATAGCTTTTCTCGTGCTTTTTGATACGTGAATCAGATTAGCAAAAAATTACGTCATCCTATGAATTTATTCTGTGTGTGTCTGGTCACGACCTGCATTTATTGAACTGCATTTCATTAAAAGTACACTTTTTTATGAAATGAAAAATTTTATAATATCACCATATGAAATAACATACTAAATCATTATATTTATTCAAAAATTAAATAATGAATGGGTTTCTCGCAAAAGTATATCGAATGTGTAGATTTTTTATTTTTGAAAATGTCGTTGATATCAACATAACCTTACTTTAAAGGTTTTTTTACGTTTTCAGAAAATATTGCCAGTGTTTGTTTGAAAGTGGTATACAATGTTCCTTCGTGAATTTTACTAGTTCGGACTTCCATTGTCTAATATATAAAATGATTTGAAATCCCTGAAACAGCTAAAAAAGAAAAATTAAAAATGAATAGCTGAAAATAACAATTATATTAACCAAAATAAAC